TCTGCCACCAGTGACATCTGTCTGGGTAAGCAAAAATGAAGAAAACTCAGTTTCTGTTTTCTGAAGTAGAAAGGATAAGCTGCAGCAGCTGGCTACATCTTGTTTCACCAGTAGTATTCCCATTCCAGCATGCAGAAATCTACTTCAAAACTGGCCTCTAGCTGCAAACTAGCATCTTTTCAGACTGCAGATGACATCATTTTCTGATGAAAAATGGAGCATGACTTATAAGAAGATTAAAAGTGTTTAATTCACTTGCAAATATATGGAGTTAATAAAAATATCATTGCATTCAAATGCTTATTTAAACAGCTTACCATCTTGACCACTATCAGTATGTTACATTAAATGCCAGGAAAAACTGAAAAATAGCTGTAGATGGTCTGAGCAAAACCAATTAAATGCTTCAGAACACGTGAAACAGAAAACTACAAATATTCAAAGGTTACTGGTTGGTAAGGAACACAAGGATATCATTACCTCAAAAAGAACTGGAAATGGAAATAAGGAAGAAGCAGGATAACTGACAGGAATGATTTCCAGAAAGCAAGTTACTTCAGTATGTAATTTAAATTCTGGATAGTCCATTGTTTGAATACTTTCAAAACTAAACAACACATACTAAAATCATACAAAGAAAACACTCAGTTTGGAAGATGATCAGCTGACTTACATGCTTATTTCCATAAATACGAACTGTAAAGGTACATTAAAATACCTTTTTTAAAGTTCAGTTTCTTTAAACTGCAGTTCTTATGCAATTATCAAGTAGTAGAGGCATGTAAATCTGGATTGCTGAGTTGAAAGGCAAGAGAAATTAACCACTTTGTAGCTGATCTGTCCAGCACACTCATAAGTTATGATAACAACTCAGAAGGCTGAATCCAACACCTGAAATCCTTCAGTCATGGATAACTAGGAAATTGCTGACACAAGTCTAACCTAACAGGAAGAGCTCACAGTGAGACAAGTGGTATATCTTCTCTATTCCCTCTCCAGCAGTGCAAGCAGCAAAGAAATATCGTTGTGGTTTGAGGTATTTTTAATGCTTGGAATGAAAACAAAAATCTTGGGCTTTGGGTATTAATATAAGAATAATAAAATACAGATACATTTAAAATATGTTTAGCTAGCATTTTAAAAATTATGTAACATTACACCTAGAAATGTATTGTAACACCTGTTATGTACCTTAATGTTTGGCATATGAAAGTATGCTTTTTAACCATAACTCGACATGCCATTGAGTCCTTTGTATTTCTGGAAGGGTATTAAATTGTATTGATCAAATGCATCATTGGTAAAAATCTCAACACTGTTAATTTCTGTATAGCATATACCACCGAAAATAATATAGAAAAATCTTTTACCTTGCTATGTATGAAATTTAGTTGCTCTTCTTAATAAGTTAAAATATTCTTGAAGAATATAGATAATATTTCTTTTAATAGAATTATACACTAATCTAAGTTGGAAGAAATTTTGGAGATCAAATGGTCCAATCTTCACCTTAGATTTGATTTCCCAGAGTCCTACCAAGCCAAGTCTTGAATACTTCACTGATTATAAACTGAAGACACTCAGCAATCAGAGTTTATGAAACTGCAATAAAAAAATATGCTACTGATGGTATCACTTATATGTTTGCAGTTTCTCTGCAGTCAGCACCTTCCCTGAAGGCCTCAGTAAGTCAGAGGCTAGAAAATTACTTGCTTAATGAGTATTTCAACTTCTTATGGGAATGTCCTGCAGTTCAGTAACCATTCAAAGTTATCTGAGCAGTAATAGTATAGATGGGATGAAACACTGAGATTTTCCAGGAGATTGTCTGTGACACTCAAAGCTCTAAAACTGCAATCAAATACACAAAGAAAATGCAGGTGGTTTTGGCACTTCTCAAGAAATCTATTCACCAGTCTGTTCACATGAAGAGAGATTTCCATTTACGTAAATAAAACTCATGTCTACCAGGGAGATGAAAAACACCCTGTGACCTAAAAAATAGCAACATGGCAGTGATACAGAATCATCTCATTCTGCCAAAGAGAGGTAGAAGAGATTTGACAGTTGGGGAGAGGAAGGTAGAAAACAAGAGATTCAACAGAAAATTTTGATGTATGGCAAGCAAAACCTTGAATAAAGAAGAAAACTAAACACATATATGATACAATGTTCTTCAGGCAGATACTAAAAATGAACCGAGGCGCACATCTGAAAATCAGAAAACATAACCTTCATGTACTAAGTATTCACAAAGTACTTGTAGGAGAGGATGAAATTTTTTTCATCTTTTTTAAAGAAAATGATCTTGTGATTAATACTATTAGTGGGAAATATGAAAAGAAACAAACGCAAGAAGTACCCACCTGGCTACTGAATACATAAACAGAAAATCGTTGTCAGGTGACCCAGGACTCTTGCTATAATCTGTATATTTCTTCTGTGTGGTGCTTTTTATATCTTTCATTACGGATTCCATTTCTTTACTGAGATTGGTTTCAGACTATGAACAAAGACACGAGAGAGGATTAGCTAGTTCTACCTGAAGAAATGCAGTAGCACATTTTACAGCACAATTTTCGTATCTATACAACACATTTGCAGGTTATGAAGAAGTATGAATTAAAAGCCAATATTCTATCTCACAGAAGTGTTACTCTTATTTGTTCCAAGTGTGAGGACATAACTGCTTTGTCCATCTCCTAAATTCAAGGATCTCATTGCTTGCATTATTTTAAAGTATATTTGCACTGTACAAGCACACAAAAATAACACAAAGCATCTCCATCAAGCCTGGAAGGCTAGCAAAACGTAACAATCTATTCCATCGTTCAGAAGACCTCATGCAGCTTTGCAACACATAAGCATCTGCAAACTGCTCTTTCCATAAAACAAACAATCCATATCTTAAAAAGTTTTCAGTGGACATTGTTTAAACAGCTTCCAGTTACAAGGATATTGTTGCTTTCATATTGTAAAGGAATGATAATGAATTTATATTACACAACTCAATTCTACGTAAGTTCATACAGAGAAAACTGAAAATGTACTCCATAAAAAATTGCATTAATCACATTTTGTCCCAGCTTTTAGCTGTTTTAGAAGGTAATGCAGTAAGTGCTCTAGATATTTAAAATTGCTTGACATGAAAAAATAGCATGTTGTCTTCCATATCAGATGAAAATGAACTTTCCCAGGGTGCCAAGTTTCTAAGAACTCACAAATGCAACATTATGTAAAAACTGAAAGGTAGAGGCAAATTAACAAGGATCTTTCTGCCTTACACTGATGCTTACTGGGAAAGTTCCCAGCTGTTCTTGAAGATCTTCCACCTCTTGTACAAGATCTTGCATAGACTTGTTACAATGACTTTGCCAGATGCTTCTTTCCACGTTGTTTCCAGGATAACAAGGAAGAACACTGTTAGCAAACTGCCTACAGAGGGGACAAGTAAATTCTCCTTTGTCCACTGAAAAACCCTGGAGAACTTGGTCGTTCTAAAAGAAAATAAAGAAGATGTACTTGAAATTTGCAAAATACTATATTTTATTTAGTTTGCTATTTCAGGTGTATAGCTTAAAAAACTGTTAAATCCCGCAAAACTGTAATGAAAGAATAGTTATAATAGCTCCTCACTTTAATGACAAAGGTCCTAATTACTAGAGACTGTCTTCAAATCCTTCAACTCAAGTAATTCATCTAATTTTTTAATATTCTTCATTGTCAACAATAACCCCATAATAAATGACAAAGACTTCAGTGGAGTATTTTGAACATTTCACATATGTTGTGTCTTCTAGCAATTCCCATAAGGCTTGAGGCTCCAAGCACAGGCTGAAACAAAACCTAATCAACCTAGCTATTGGAGGGCTGAAGACCCTGATTATTTCTTTCACCACATGAAGGACCAAAAACGAACACAGAAGTACATGTTTGGGAAGTGAGGACATGTCCTGAGTACCCTGTTACTGGCAAGCAACCTTGCTTCAGTTTTGAGAACTGCCTCCCTGGTTCCCCATTCCTGGGAGGAGAGAGGTGCTAAGGAAACAGTGACTATAATGCAAACTTCATGTAGCCAGCCCAGAATGCTGAGGCTTTTACATACCTTTCTGGATTGCTGGTCTCTGATTGTACTATGGAAACATAAACCTTTTATCCAGACGAACACAAGTCTATATAAACTAACTTGGTACTAAGAATGCTAGGAAACAGTCAGAATTATGATGCAACTCATCTAGGTAGTAATAACACATGGTGGGATCAGAAGTTCACTTAAATAGAATCTTCAAGAATACAGTGAGGTGGAATAACAGTTTATTTCAAGCTTAATTGAGAATCCACCAGAAAAGTGACTTCAGAGTTTATATGTTGCAAAAAATTATTTTCCAAAATTCTGCGAAGCGATACTACCATGAAAGTCCAGATTTTACTGTTACGTTACTTTCTATAATTTTTATATTATATTTAGCTTGATGACACAATTACTGCAGAAAGCTAATTTAAATTGACAGGGAAAAGAATAATTGATCATGGGATCCAACAAAGGTTGCACAGCTTCCAGTCTCCTGAGAGGTTAAGTTTCACAGCATGACCAATGCTGAAACTAAAAATACAAGGCATTGATCACAGTTTTTCTCAAAATAAAAAGGAATCAACAAAACTTACAAGAAAAGAACCCCATCTAAATAAATATCCCATAAAGTAATCTTGAATAAAAAAGCAGTTTCATATGAAACAAGAAGTTATCATTTTATTACACTGCTTAATTTCAGTATTTTTTCTCATACAATCACAGTAACTGAAAACAAAGTACTTTTGTTAACAACGTCAAGATGCAGTAAGATTTAGTATCTATAGTCCTTGAAACACAATAAAACCACCTTGCCCAGTTGTGCAAACCCAAGTTTCCTTTCTGCGATTTGAACAGCATAAATCCAATTGAATTAAGAACAGTTCAGATCCAAATAAACAAATATGATCTTCAGTTTTACTCACCCGCAAAGATTCCATGTAAGATTTGTGACAATCTATGTGTAAAGTGTGACCACAAGTTTGTACATAAACACCTCCTTCCCAGCCTATTGACACTGCTTGCAGGCAGGAACTCTAAACCAAAGAAAAACAGTAAGAAAAAACAACTGTTGTATATAAAGCTATCAAGGTATTTCCTAACTTTCGGAGATTTAAAAATACAGATTTTTATTTGCATGCTCTCTAATTAAAAGACATGCCATGAAAATAAAGGAAGAATTTTATAAAGTATTTACTGATGCTAAACTAAATGGGCGCCATGATGCTATTCTTTCTAACCAAGAGCTAAACTTTGGCAGCTCTTGTCACTTAAGATAAGGCCTTCTTTAAAAAACCTCCTGTGTTACAGCACTGTCTCTAACAGCTGTTCCCATAGCAGAAGTTATCTCATATACAAGAGTAATATAATGTTCCAATACATTTCATCCAGTTTTGTAGGTAACCAAAATAAGACCACAGTTACACAATTAAACCCCCAAGCTGTTACTAAAATTCAGTGTAAACACTTAGGGTTTTTAGTGAGTTGTTGAACAACATTATATATAACAGATCATAAAAGGAAAAGAGAAGAAATTTATGTTCAGTGAATTGAGTTTTACATAGGTTTGATTTGAAAACATTTGCCTTATTTGAAGGCTGCACTTTCAGCCCACATGGCCAAAAATTACCCCACTGGGAACTCACTGGGAACATCTTCCAGAAAATTATGGCCTGAAGTGTCACCCCTGGCAAACTTATGATAAGCAATTCTAGAAAATTCCTAAATCTCCATTTCTCAAAAATTTCACACACAGACTGAAATGCCCATTCTGGTTACACACTTAGAGAACAGAAAAAGATTTATGGCTACCAGACTTGGAAAACATTTTTAGTGTATACTCAGCCTAAAATGGTCTTAATGTATGATGCAAAATCAGGGCACTATGAATAACTCTGACAGCTGCATTTTCTAAAGGTGTCCTATCATCTTTTTTTTTTTCCTGCATATGAGCAGGAAATCAAAATGAAATTACAAATTTTAGCTGTAAGACATGCCCCTGTTTACCTTGCCTCAGTCTGTCACTCAATGTGCCATGAGCCTGTCAGGCCATTGAATAAGAAAGGAACCTGCTGGTTCCTGCATGATTTAGTCGACTGCACTATTATTAAGGTTGTATGATACTATCTGGATAAGCCCCACAGGTCAAATGTTACATTCAGGAAAATCATTATATACTGCCTGTATTTAATGAGGCTACTTAGTAGCAGTTGTGAAAAGTAAAAAACCCAAAACCAACCCCACAGTCTTTGCAGAAAATCTTTACTCTGTTCCTCTTGAGTTCAGAAACAGAGGAGAACCCAGAGCAAGCCATAGGCTTGGGATGAAGCACACTTACATCAAGGTATTGGTTATGGAGTACTGTGTGATTCAGAAAACAGTCCTATCGATCCAGCAGCTGAAACCTTCCTTCCTAATCCTTAGTCATACCTCTTCATATTAAAAACAATTACTTTCAGTAATTTTTCCTTTAGTGGGCAAGAACTCTACTCCTTGACAGCAAGCACCAAATTTCAGCTAAGAAAGTACAAAAAGCAATCTCTGTGGAAAGACACCTGTCTATTTTGCCCACTCTATATACAGCTTGTAGCTTTTGAATTTGCTTGGGGGTTTTTGTGGGGGTTGTTTTTTGGTTGGGGTTCTTTTTTTTGGGTTGGGGGGGGGGGTTGGGGGGTTGTCCTTCTACTAGAGTAAGCTAGATCATGCTTCATAACTTATTATTTACATCCAAGTGAAATTATTCACTTGCCTCCTGAGATCTGTTGTTAGAGGAAGGATACTTATTGGGAAGGACATAGTTGATAAACAAAAGGACTTACTGCTTAGCTCAGCTGAAAAAGACACTCAAGACACTAACAGATGTTTCAATTTTTATGTCAAAAGAAATTTAAGATTAGCTCTTTCATGCAAAGACATATTTTTTTAGCACCGCGGCGACCTGGAAACTTGAAATCAAAACCAGCTAATTCAATTGATGTTTGAATCAAGACTGTAATTCTTGATCATTTGCTCATTGCATTACAATGCATATTAGACTAATCTGTTGGTACTGTTACTGCACAGAAAGGGAAATACACACTTCAGTGACAGCAAGTTTTTAGGTAACATTTTGCTTGGAACTCCTTCCATTTGTATATGTATATGCAAACACAAAAATAAAGCTACAGTATTACTTCAATGTTTTTATTGCTTCAGCAGGGAAATGACTAACTATCTGAAAGAGTAAACCAAAATGTTTACAATGTAAAAAGAAGAAAAGCTTGTCCACAGATTCTTTCTGAACTAAAACCCCACCTTTTCTTCAAGAATAATTTTCTGCTTACTTCCCTTTCTGACATGGAAGTGTAGCCTTCGAATAAAGTGCTTTTCTGAAAAGCTTGCCCAGTTTTTAAGATGGCATTGAAACAATTATGAATCTGACTCTCAGTTAATCTACATAAGCAAGCTTGGGTACAGTTGGCAAATTTCAATGATCTGTGGGTTACAAAAAAGCTAGCAACTGTGTCAGAGTAAAAATTGTCACAGTTTTCTCTCTTTAAAGCCAACATTTAAGCTTCTAAAGGCTGATTATTTACTTAGATATATCTAAAAGCTGGTAGCTCACCTGGGACTAGTCTACAGAAGCTAATTTAGGGTCACAGGTTACATATTCTTTTCCCCCAGAATGATTTCTCAGAACAGCTATATCTTATGTTATATAGCTCTTTTAGACACTAGCATGGAAAGTCCCAGGCAGCACTTCCACAAAGGTCTACAACTGAACATGTCCTGTTAAGCAGCAAGAATTGGCTCTCAAAATTAAATATGAAAAGCTGTAACGTGGCTTTGTGAAGTCATGCAAAACTCTGCTTGGAACAGCTAACAGAACTGCAAAGCAGACAATAACTACCAATTAATGTAAAACTGAACTTCAGACATTGTACAGAGTTGAGGAGGCAGCAGAAGAGGGTGAAATTTTCTGCTGATCCCTCCTTCTCATCCATTCACGCTCCCGTTTTCTATAGTGTCTCATAAAACTGTTACAGGTTAAATCAACTCTTTCCACTTAGTCTGCTGCCAAAATATTTTTACCTGATTAAGAGAAATTCCTTGGCCAGGCTTTCTGAGTGGCTGTAAGAAAACCGGTGTTTGCTTAAACAGCAAAACCACATCTCAATTGTGTGGTCACACTGAATTATGAAATACCTTCTTGTAGAGAACGTATGTGTGGATATTCCATGACTATACAGCCTGTAGATACACTAGGTGCCTATTGCCAAAAACTGAAGCAGACGCTATTTTAAAGGACCTTATTGTTGGAGTGGGATTCGGACCTGGAGTAACGATGAGTCTCAATATGAGTATGGTCGTTCTCCTTTATTCTTAGTGCTTACAAGATATATATAGATATTCACACAGTGTACACGAAAGCAGTGGATACATGATTGGTTTATTGCCCTTGTCCAAGTGTCCAGGGTAAACTTATGATTGGAGCAAGCAGGTGTCTATCCACATTCCAGGATGTTCTCAGGAATTCCAGGGAGCTTGTTGACACCAGACTCAGAGCCGGTCAGAGCCAGCTCTGCCAGGCAGAGCTGACTCCTTATCAGCAGGTTCAAGGCCCAGTCACAGCTGCTGTAGGCCTTACACCACACTACAAGCTGGATTGTCAGCATCAAGGAAATCATGTCCCTTCTTGCATAGCCATTCCTCCACACCTTATCCCATGCAAACACTTCAGAAGGACTGCGACAGGAAAATGTGTTCACTAAATATAGCAAAGAGACTAGGAGGACCCTAAGCTGAATTTAATTTCTCTCTTTCCACAGATTTTGCACGAGCAGTATTGCTCGTATGAAACACTCACGTCTTTGAAGTATCGCTGCAGCGTCGCGAGCCTCACGTCGTGCAGGGCTGCACAGGTGTCACGAGAGTAGATCTGCTCCTCTTCAGTAGTTGGGAGTCTCTTGGGCTCGGTGCTATTGCGGCACTGCCCCAACACTGCACCAAGGAAAAATGCAATGGATGACAATATGCCGGTCAACTAAGAGAACAATCAGGTAATTCTGGCTTGTAAGTACTTTGTTGATGTCCAAAAGTAAAAGATTATTAAAGAAACTAAATACTGCTTCTGCACTTGTATATAAAGTGTGTGTGTATATATATACACATGTATATACACCTCCACACCCCTCCGAACACTCCTATCAACACAGACACCAATGGCTGTTTAAGTTCCTTTGTCTTTCTATACTGATCTTCCTGCAGGTCTGTTACATACTTGCAAAAGCTAACAAGAATTAGGAGGTAATTAGGCTGTTTTCTCTTTTCCCAAACATATAAAACTTTTCTCAGTACCCTGAGATTTATACACATGCCTCAAAAAGGATCATCCATGCAAAAAATAGGAGAGTGTTTTCAGGCTTCATGAGACACAACATGTTAAAAGCTGCTGAAACACTGCTTTTCCTACCAGTAACACATTCATACCTGAGGATGCTTGCAATAGTACAACTAGTCCTGTAGGTCTGTCTTCAGTAGAAGGACCACTTTGTCCACAAATAACACAATCATATATTGCCTCAGAAATATGCTGTTCAGATGTAGCTACCTCCATGGCAATATCAGCATCTGGAGATTCTAAAAATGGAAAAGAGACCTGATATTAAAGAGAGGTGAAGAAATGAAATTGTATCTGCATTGAGATAGTGATGAAAAAACTCCACAATAATTCCTCTAGTTTATCTAAAACTAAACCACTGAGAGTTACTTGAAACTAACCTTGCTGCTCCAAACAAACACCTACAAAATCAAGTACATGTTTTCTTATATGCAAAATTACTCTGTGGAATTAAGTATTTTATTTGAGCTTTGTATTAAACTCAATCTCTTTAAAACTTATATAAAACAAAGGCATAATTTCTATTTCATTAGATACTATACTGAAAATTTTGAGCAGAGATGAAGGGCAATGGACTTGAATCTCTAGTAAAACCCGATTTTCTCATAACTGACTGAAACAACAATTACAATAAAAGAGTTAACCTGGAGACCTTAGAAATAATTTTTTAATGCTTAGACGTGGTGAACGAAATTGCAGTTTTTTTAATATGACACTCAGACAATCTTTAACAATTTGGTGTGCCCAAAGTGATCAGCTGCAATGAGCAGATGTTTAGTTTAACATTTATTGTAAAAAAGATGTATCAGGTCTGATTTTCTAATGGTCCACATGACTACATCCTAGATGAACAGACAGGAAGGTTCAAGGCTAAGGATCAGCTTTGAAATATCAAGGCCACTGCACTCAAAGTAGCTTTGTTCACACGACAGCTGGTGGTGCACATTTCAGGGCAAGCAATTTTGTTATGTTACAACCAAAGGTAAGAATTCTTTATTGACTTGAAAGAAAAGCACCTCAGGACTAAATGATCCTTTTGTGACTGCTCAGGAACAATTGCAGTCAGACTCTTCATCTAGAATGTAAGGGTTCTTGGTTTCTTTCCTCCATGATAATTTTTCCAAGGGAAAACACTTCCTCTCAACCTTCAACCATGCCCTTTATCTCCCCAATTAAGTAGTCCAAGGTACTGGACAGAGAACCCAAAAACCTTGAGTACACCAACAATCCTCATGCTTTTAGAAGAGATGCTGTCTTCTGGAAGTCCACTGCAAGTTTGGCACAGGCGGTTGCTGCTGCAAGGAGAGGCATGTTGGGTGCCAGGCACCATACTTCTTTGCTATGAAAAGCTCCATGCAACACTCTCGCTCATGGGGCACAATCAACATTACACTGACTTAGTAACTATTGATTTCCCAGTCAGTTATTGAGGGTCACAGGAAAACGAGCCCCAATCTGCATGGACATGTGGCTGCTAATATCGCACACACTCCTATCACCATCTAGTGGCAGCCAGATGTACAATGAAAGAAAAAGCACAATGCATCCACTGCAAATGTCCAAAGCATGCAGAAAACCTAGGAGCAAACTGCAGCACAGAAGGAAGTAAACACCAATGCTATTTTTTATATTTAACATCACTTCTCAATCGTGTAATGCACACTCATGTACACCTGTGTATCAAAAGCATGGCACAAAGGAGTTTCAGCTTCCTTATTTCTTTTTCTAAAATACTGTCAATACAAAAGAAAATATGCAATCATTCAATATACTTCAGAAGTGCAGAAAGAGAATGCAGTGGGTCAATCTGATTTTGAATTACAGAATCACAGAACTGTAGGGTTGGAATGGACCTTACAGATCACATGTACACCTGTGTATCAAAAGCATGGCACAAAGGAGTTTCAGCTTCCTTATTTCTTTTTCTAAAATACTGTCAATACAAAAGAAAATATGCAATCATTCAATATACTTCAGAAGTGCAGAAAGAGAATGCAGTGGGTCAATCTGATTTTGAATTACAGAATCACAGAACTGTAGGGTTGGAATGGACCTTACAGATCATATCATCTCTTCAATGGACGTCTTCAAAATCAGTCAACATTTAATCTACAAAATAACATCCAACCATCATAAATTGCATGATTTTAACCTGAAGGAAAAGAATACAGAAGTTAGTGTTTAAAAGGTGTTTCAAACCCATTCAGTACATGCAATCAATACTTTCATTGCCTACGTGCAACAGGCACATAAAAATGAGGCTAATTTAAGTTCAGAGCTCAATGATCAATGCATGCTATCTCCACAACCCCTTAGATCTAATGCTGGGCTGATCTGGCAAAACACAAAACATCAGGGAAACTTAGCTTCTGGCACCAAGGAAGACTTGGTAATAAAATAATTTCCACCAGAGCTAGTGAAAGAAAACAAAGGGAAATTGGCAAGAATTTCAAATCTCAAATAATTAAGCATACCAGAAAAACAGCAACCAAAACTGCAAACCAAACCCTTAATTCTCTTTGAATTGACTAAGATAAACCTCAATTACACACTTAAAGTACTCGTTAGCTTCTTTGGAAGAGAAGACTCTGGCTATGATTTGTTTGAAAGAGAACATTTTGGCAGTGTAATTTCCTGATCTGAAAATCAGTGGCAGTGCAGAGAAAAAGAAAGCAAGCTAAACATACAGCAGTGACCTCAATCTTGCCTTTCTTGCCTTCCTAAGTTTTGCCTCTGTGGAGCTTCAAGGGAAGCAACTGATCCTGCCCCACCAGCTACATGATCTACCTACACTGTCAAGGACCAGAACAAACATGTTTCAACTCAAAATACTGTCAAAAATGAAAAGATTCTTGCAAATTTCCTAAAATATTCCATTAATGCACCGATACTTGTGAATATAAAGTTATTGGCATTTCTCCATTCTACTTCACTTTGAATTATATAATTCCTATTTCACATGGGGAAAAGTAAAACTAAACTGCATTTTAGTATAATGGTAGTCAAATGGGTGCTTAAAATCCCCAGAAATTCGTAGCTCCATATATTCCCTTTTTTCCCCATTTCATATAAACAAAAGCACAGAAGTGCTTTGTATATTGCACAGAAACTTGTGAAGCATTTAAAGTGACTGAAGTTGCAATGCTGTCTTATTTATTTTATTTAGAAAATACAGGCTCTTGCCAATTTTTAAAGCACATCCTAACATTTCGTAGCTTCCAAGATGTAATTATAAAAAGATAAATTTATAAAAATTATTTTATTAAATATCTGTTGGGAAAGGTGAAGGTTCC